CCATCTCATTTTCTATTACCTCTCTTCTTCTTCTACTCTCATCTCCTTCCATTCTTCCCGTTTCTTCTCTATTTCTACCTCACTGGCTTTCTTGTTGTTTTCCCCTAACTTGCTAGGCCTCCTGCCGCTGTTGCCTTTTTCTCTTAAAGAGACACTCTTCCTATCAGTTTTACTCAAAAGTCTCTTTCTCAGGAGGCCTTCCCCCACATGTCATTCCTAGCTGCTTTTGTGTTTGATTTATTTTACTGCTTATTCTTATTTTTGGTCTGTCTGTCCCTCCAGTATGTAAGTTTCATGGAGGAAGGGAATTTCGTCTGTTTTGTTCACTAATAGAACCTTCAGTGCCTACAGCATAAAAACTAATGAACATGCTGGTTCATGTATTCATCAATCATTCACACTTCTGCCTTTTTGAATTAATTGCTCATTTTTTATAGTTGTCTTTTGTCCTAATTAATATATAATAACTGTATATTAAGGATATTAATGTTATATTTGTTTTATTTTTGTAACGACAAATGTTATTTGACAAGGCATCAAATTTGTCATTTGCTAATATTTTTTCATATTTTGTTTGCCATTTAAACTGTATTGAAAAGCTATGAAATTTTGGAGAGAGATACACGTGCACACATTTTTTTAAATAGCTTCTCTTGAGAGTGCTCTCACAGCTCTGCACATCTTGTAATCAAAGACATTGTCCATGTAGACTGTCTTTTCAAGGATATTTGCATAGTAGATATCCTTGGAATATGATAACTGTGTCTCCCTTAGGAGTATGGGCAGGCATGCTCACTGCCTGCTGTAAGAAATTTGGGTTCCCTAAACTCAGGTTCATTCTTTTGCAATGCATTTGACTGCATATGCAGTTGCCACCTGGCCTGTTTGGGTTGCTCTGTGGGAATTGGGGCTTAGGAAACTGATACAAATGCTGACAGTCTTGCTACTCTTATTGCTATGAGTAATAAGTCCCCTGTCTCTGACCTAGGAATCTTGTACTTTCTGTTATAGCATCCATGAAATTGCAGTAGGCTAACTAGTAAGCTTGCAAGGAAGATAATATCTCAGACTTTTACATTTCTCCATATCTTCTTTTAATTCTATGCTCTTTAGGACTTTTGCTATCCTGAAATGAAATACAGTTTTACCTGAATTGTCTTTGAAAATTTTTAAAGTTTTTATTTAATTCATTTGATGCTTCTTTAGTTGGGCTGAGGCAGGTAGTCAACCTATTTTTTTTCCTAACAAACAGTTATTTTATTGCCATTTATTTAGTTGTCCATGTTTCCTCCATTGATTTAAAAATCTAACCTTTATCATGTACTAAGTATAATTTTTCTGTATTTTTCTTTTCCAGTAACCTCTATATTCTATTGATTTTTCATATCTAGGAACATTTCCAAGTTTTTTTGTCAGTAAATTTAAAAAGTTTTAAAAATCATATGTCCTGTGTAAATCTTAAGAAGGTTGTTCATAAGTATTAGTCGCTAACTTTGTGAAATTCCTAAATTTTAGATGGTAATTGCATGCAATCAGAAATAATTATTTTATCAACTTTGTTAATACATGAGTTATGTTTTTATAATTCTGTAGCACTGAAGTATAAATATATTCTAATGACTTATAAAATCTATATCTTTTTTGCTAGACTACACTTGCTGCTTTGAAGGATGAAGTTGTTTCTGTTGAAAATGAACTCTTAGAATTGCAAGAAGTAGAAAAAAACCAGAAAACCCTTGTTGAAATGTATAAAACTCAGGTGACTACTGCATTTATTTTAGTGCTTACTAAAATTGATAGACAATTTAAAACACCATTTGTTTGCAATCTAAATAAACAGAACTGAAGAGAGTTGGGGCTATCATTGTGGGTTATAATATGGTATGACTCAAATATTTCTTAAGGTCCCACACATCTTTGTAAATAGATGATTCTGCCAATTACTGATTCCAACACTGCATATGGATATAGTGGATATTCCTAAAAGTAGATTTAATATTAATTACATAGGTATAATGTGACCTCTAATGTATTCTTGTTAATCTTGGCTATATTTGTCTGTCATCATGTATATTTAATGGTATTGATTTAGATTAATGACTCTCTTCTAGGGTCATTAAAGTTCATTATGCCTCCTTTCTCAGGAAATAAAGTATAATTCAGATTTATTCACATGAAATGCCAAGAAAAGAACATGTGACAATATATATGAAATAGACCATGTGTTCAATGGTAATTTGTAGAAAAACCTTTATTTTTTGGAAATGTAGTATTCAAGAAAAAACTTCATGAGAAAGATGGGACTTATGCAGGTCCTTGCATG